TGAGAGTTCAGATAATGGAGGCTCGATGACACCATTATTACTCATAGTCGAGCCTAATACTACAATCCCTAATCCAGTGTGGGGCAGTTTAGATCTCCGTTAGCAGATGTTGACCACGGTGCTGAAGCATCATTTCCTTTAAACATTTTATTATTTACAATGAAAATGGCATCATATGTGCCTGACATGACACTATGGCTCATAAAGGTCAAATTGAAGCAATCAATAGGCTACATTGCAAATTAATTTGTTCGACTTACACTTCTAGATATATTATTATCCTTGCATTTGATAATATATAATTTATTTATATATATTAATATATGTATGTCATATATGTATATATCAATTATATACAATATATATATTACTAGGTAAATTGTATAATACTTTCCTAGTTATCTAGTACTTTCCTACCTATGTTCTTATGTCAGAGTTAGGTGAGAAGATCAGCCATGATCTTATTGAATGGCGGAGCAGGCACGAAGGGCCGAATGGCCTACTCCTGCTCCTAATTCTTATGTTCTTATCTTTGAAAGGTAAAGCTAAATAAGATTCAAGCGGAGGAAGGTTGAGCAATTACTACAGAAGCTGTCCTGCGAAATGACAGGTTTGATTATCCCTGCACTCTCTCAAGTAGGGAATTGAAGATCCCACCTGTTCCAAAAGGCCACATCAGAGGTCACCTTTAGCCACTGGAAATGGCTAAAAATATTTTTATGAAGTTTCCATGCTTTGTGGGCAGTTTTACTCTTGCTATGATTGATGGCCCTGCGCAACACTGATGTCACATACATTCCTTGCATAAATATACAATTGATAAAGGGTTCATACACACTGCGAGTCCTTTCTTCTCTCTCTATGCCCAAGTATTTTCTAATGAAGCAATAGATGTGGTTTTGCAACAACGTTCCACTGTATATAAATAAATAATTCGGTTCCACTGTATATAAATAAATAATTCGAACAGTTGCAATTTGATTGATTCACAAACGTTAGCTTACCACAGAGCAAGTTAATCTTACAAATTAACCACACTAGTCTGTCTCGTAGGTGGAATAAAATCCCACTTGATCCTTAAGTTGTTGGGACGCAACATCACACTTGTTGGAATTTGTATGTTGCACCATTGGCTTAGCACAGAAGTAGTAATTAATGAAATTGTGGTCAATCATTAATATTAACTCACACACACACACAATCGTAATGAATCATAAACCTGCAAATCTCCCCACCAGGTTTGGCTGTCTGACGATTCCTCAATTCATCAATACCATAATATAAGTTGTACAAACTCCCCCACCCACCTGATTTTTCTTTCTTATATTCTCCTTCCTTTGGATGGTATTGCCGGGGTGTACAGCTCTGTAAGTTTCCCACATCTTTGCCAGTTTCAATATTGAAAATTGCAATGCAGTTGAGAGTGCTACGATCAATACCCCCCCAAAAAAAAGAATGACGATCCCTTTTAACGCAGTAAAATCTGCCATTCTGGGACAGTCAAGAAGGCTCTCAATGTAACATTTTGTTTTAAGAAGAGAGGCAAATTAGAAACGCCTTAGTCCTCTTCCACAGTACTGTTTTAACCCATTCCGACCACTGGGTGAGCACTTCACCTCCATTTACTGCTGTACCCCCCCCCCCCCTCCCCCAGAAAAGTACTACTAATGGTTGCATGTGGGAACTCGTGGAGATGAAAGTACAGCACATTGGTTACACTAACACTATTGCTCTGAACAATACGACTCATCATGTTGTCATCATTTTACCGACTACCCTGAGGTTGGAATTTCCCTCCGTCTGAATGCCTCGTGTGTGGTGAAGAGTGAAAGAGTGAAAACGATTCGTATGGCTCAACATATCTTAATTGTAATCTCTGGTCTGTGTAGTTATGTGATCTCAGTCTTGGCAGAGAAGTTAGGTCGCTATAACGGACTTCAGGATTCCTAAACTAACTGGGGAAGGTTTGCGGGAGGGGAGGGAAACAAAAGCTCCAAATTCTCATTCAAGAAACTATCTCATCCACACACACACCCCCACACCCTCAGTGGAAAAGTTTCTTTGTGGACACCATTTGAGAATGCAATCAAGCTTCATTGTGATATTCCCCACAATTGAATACTTTAATTAGCATGAGCTAATTAATGCTTTCAGGGAGAGAAGGGGGTAGAAAATGAGACAATAATGGTGTATTGGGCAGATTTTATTCATATAAATTTTCAATACAGTATGACATTAGATCCAAACATCAGAATCACACATTATGAAGCAAGCCTTGTGCAATAAAAAAACCCCAGAAAATCCCAATGCCTGCATCCCATTATCGTACAGATGATAGATGATTGAGAAACTTCTAATTCTTTACCTTTATCGATAAAGGTATCAATAAAATGGTAAACATGTTTAAGGTTGTGCTGATTTAGCAATATATGGATTGAGCTTTCCTCCCGAAAGTTTATGACATCATCCCAATCCATTGATATGTTACTGCCTTGTAACCTACTGAGGGCTGTCTGCTCCCATAAATTTAGCAGCCATGCAAAGGAAAAATTCTGTCCTGTGTGCACATCGTCTAGACATGCAGGACGTGTTTGGATAGCGAAGGGCAAGAAACAAGGTTATCGTCCGTCAGTCATCCAAACTATCCTAAATCTGAAGACAAGAGTACAAATTTTACTCTTCAGGCCAAATCCTCAGCAAAGTCTCTTTCACAATGACAATAATCAGCCAAATAGATTTCCAGAGCAATATGTGGTTTTTTTTTGAGAAAAATATATTGTACGTCGTTACAACTTTACAGTTTTCTGTAGATCCAGACCCTGTCGGTCAAGGTAATAGGTATTTTCATGGGGGATAATATCAAGGTAAGATTTTACCACCCAAAAAATGGTTTTCATTAGTTTAATGTGCATCAAACGTGAATAAACCTGCCCTTTGGAAATGAACGTCAGAAAGCCTCTAAATGAAGTGCTCGTCAGACTCCTCGGGAGGTCAGTTCTGTGTAGTATGATATAACAAAGAGTGTTACATATTCGAAATGAAAGTTGCAGTCATCCTCGAAAAAAAATGAGGGAGTGTTTTATTTCGCAACGACCGAAATCTCAATCCTTGCTGCCCTGTTCCCCCCCCATCCCCATCCCCATCCCATCCCGTTGTATCCAGGTTGCTCACTGGAGGGTATACAGGAAGTATGTGTAACGTGGGCAGGATTCCACTGCAGGAGGACGTGAGAGACGTGACCAAGTCCTGAGTTGCTGAATGCCCACCGAACCAGACACAAAGAGTGAGCAATGTGGGGCGAACGAGTTTGGGTTTCTTGCTGATGCTGATGGGGTGGACGGCTGGTGAAATCGCTCCAGAAAGGCAGGTCTCTCTCTCTCTCTCCAGCCCCATCTTTTTTGTGTGTGAAATCCCCAGGTGGGAAACATTTGCTCGCAAAATTGCGGAAGGTGGGACTGAACCGGGAGGTTTTAAGATGAATTGCTTTTAACGAATGTGAAAGCTCCCACTCCACCACGAGGTCTGTCTTACTTCGTCTATTTCACGAATCCAAACAGTGACGCCTGTTCAAGGTGGATGCAACATAGCAAAACTCTTACTTCGGTTTCCTTAATCTGCCCATTACGTCGCTTCTTTAAACGCCGAATGAGGAAATACACCAGTTTGTGTGTGTGTGTGTGTGTGTGTATGTGTGTGGGGGGAGGTGGAGGTTGTAGGTCGACTTGGGGAAAAAATTAAAAAAAAAAGGTCTCAGGCTGCAAAAACAGATGAGCAATTTTTTTTCTTGCTATAAATAAACTCGACTGGAGTCTGGCGTGGTGTTAAAACCACAAAATATGAGCTTTGTGTAATTTGCATTTATTATGAAACCATGCAGGAGTGAGTATAGGTTATAAAGGATACCAGGAAGGAAGGGACTTTCGAGTCAAAACCCAGTTGAGAGGCTCACGTAACATTGTAAACCTTTGGAATGAAGGTCAGAGTGCCAGCAACCCTTTATTAAATTAATGCGAGGTATGTTTCAATGTACGAGAACAGACCGGCAGTTTCCTAGGGTTTGTTCGGTTTTGGGGGTGATGGGGGAAAGGGAAATTAGCCACAGCTTTTGCACTCCATGCAGTCGATGGACTTTTAAGGTTCCCCAACGCAAATACAAGATATGATGTAGATAACTCCTGGATTTCATAGAAAACTGCCTACTGCTCAGAAACAGGAAACTACCAACCAACCTCACAATGCAGTCATGACATGTTAAGAGTGAGCCTCACAGTTTCTCCGCACATCTTTTCTGTGTATTTTCACCATCTGCGACCCTGAATAAACCCCAGAGTTCCCCCAATTCTAATACAAGCTGATATTTCTGTAAGTAGGATTTTAGGTTTTAATCTTCGTCCACCACTAGGAATCCCATCGCCATTTGCTGTTCGCCTCACGTTGTTAACCCAGCTTCACTGGCATGCGCTCATGTATCCGGCAGCAAGAGCAAGGCACTCGTTATCCAGCAGCAACAATTGTGGTTTTACTTTCTAAAATAAAATACTCGCACCCAACGCAATAAGCTGCTAAAGTGACGGTCTGTGGACATCAGCCCCGAGAGTAATAACACAATGCCCATCTCTGCCGGTTATAACACAACGCTGCTCCAGGGCAGAATTCAGACAGAGCAATCCAGTGTGTGCCCAAGTCAAGACAGGTCAATAATAACTTCTGCATTCAAACGGAACGCACACGTATAACCATTTGCCCACCATCTCGAAATAAGTGGTTTAAAAAAAAATACTCAATTCTGCCATCAGAAAACCGCGTAGAAATCTTTTTGCAGAAAACAAAACCCCCCCTTGAAATAATTCACCACTGTCACTCAAATGAATCCCAGTGTCATTTTAAGTGTAACATTATTTAGTAAAAAAAAACAGGTTACTTCTCACTCCACGTCTTCTACGTATATATATATATATGTGTGTGTGTGTATTTTAAAAAAAATGGTCTAGAGTCCTTACCTTGGCTGCTGGAGCTCTGGTGCTGAAGTGGGTCTTTTATTCAGGAAACTCCTCTGAAGGTCCACATCGCTCTCTTTATTCAGATTGGAGGCTGTGCGTCAGACCCCGGCACCACCCCGGCTCCTCCCCGGGTCCTATTGCCTTTCATTCTTTCTTTTCTTTCTCGCTCCAGTGATTGCTTCCCCGGTATTGATCGCGACTCCCCCGAGAGATGCCCTACAGCCACAGACCGTACACCAGAAATTTGGAACATCAAACTACCCACTACCCCCCCACCCCCCACACCCCACAACCCCAACCCGTGGAGGGGGGAAAAAATGGACTATTACAGGACAGGCAATGCTGTTGATCATCAATTATTGGTTTGACACTTACCTTGGAACTTCACCTGCACTGTTCTATAATAATAATAATCCTTGCATTTGATATAGCGCTTTTCACGTCTTTGAGACGTCCCAAAGCGCTTCACAGAATATACTGTAAAGTGAATTGACTGTATATTCTAGCTGTGGAAATTCGGTGCAGGACCTTATATTGTAAAGGCCAGTCCTCAAAATGAAAGTACTGTTTTTGCAAGACTGTTTATCGTATTTATGATCAGTGAAGGTGTGATTGGTATGTTTTTCATTTGTCAATCACACCCACTACAGAATCATTGTATATGTGTGTATTCGAAGAGTATTCGAGGATCCAGAAGAGTATTAGAGGGTCTGGGAGAGCAGGGAATTGGTATTAGAATAAATGGCTTAAATGGAAGTGCAATTACCAACATTATTATAGCCTCAAATGGCCACCTACCATGTCATAGTTCGTTCCAGTTATATCTCAATCTTTTGTGGCTGGAATACTAATCTAATGAACTGTTTTTTAGCGGTGCAAATCCTTTTTTTGTAAATTACTTGCACCTTCAAAATAAATGTGTGAACCTGAAGACTAAACAGTTAAACAATTAAAGGGAGTTAAAGTTATTCACAAACCAACTGGACAGATTAGGTGAGATGATGTTTTGTTTTTTTTAAAAATGTCTGGCTCAAGAAGACCATTATATCTCTAGGCTACCCGGCAGTTTAGGAGTCCCTTTTAATCTGATGCTAATCGTGTTTTCATTGTGGCTGTTATTAAGTCATTGTTGGCTCTAAATTTATTGATAGAAAAAAGAATAAAAGGTTTACGGATCATTCCTTTAATTTCACCTCTATAAAGTCAAAAAGCAAAGGGAATTTCTGTAACATTTAGCGACTATGTGAACAAATGCAGCAGCCAATTTGTGCACACCAATGTGCACAACATCACTACATTGCAGCTCTGGCCTGATGTGGGACTTAAATCCACCACCTTCTGACCCAGAGAGTGCTACCAACTGAGCCTACATCTGATATAATAGCAAGTGAACAAGACATGTGCACATTGTTTTTTTTTCTAACGACTGATAGTTTCATCATCTGGCTTTACTTTATTCCAAAACAATTATCTGTTGTAATATTTCCTTCCTCACAATAAATGTGCTAAAATGGCTCATTTTCAGCCCATCCATTTTATGCCTTATGCCACACACTGTCTGTCTGAAATGATGAGTACAAATGTACTTTTCTGTCAGAAATCTTTAATATACAGTACAATATTATTTCTGCCACTTTCCCTCCCTTATATTTGTAGGTTGAATTCTGACTAATCATTTAATTATTCATCCCTGTGCCTCAATCTGTTGTGGATGTTATTGTGGCTCTTAATAACTGCTTTGTGTTGGGGATGGAGCCAGCGAAACCTGAACCACATTTAGAGCTGGTTCATGAAAAGTAGATGCTTGACTTTGTATTTCAAGAGTTTAATATTAATTTACTTTTAGGTATTACTTGGCAGTCTTGTTTATGTGGTGGTGGTAGTTATGTAATTCTAAATTATGATTTAGGGGATTCTTGGACTCAAGTTCAGAAGGAATGGTGTGCGGAGCATGTTAGTTTGAGCATAACGCATGGTGAACCATTTAAATTAACCCCAATCAAGATGTTATACCAACTGTGTGCACTCCATACCAACAAACAAAAACATACATATGTGAAACTCAGTATTTTGGGAGTTTGGTTTTGGAACCAATCATATCTGTGTTTGTCAAGACACCCAGTTGACAACCTTAATGTGTTCATTTCAATTTCTTCCCAATATTTCTCAACAATTTTCACTGTTGAGCCAGATAGCCTGTATGGAAAGGCAACATAAGGCTCAACTCCCCAGTCAATCCTGGGGAAGCCATGGAAATCAATACTCTACAATGCTAATTGCATCCAATATCTCACCAAAATGGTCATTCCTCAAGTGGGAGCTCAGAGGCGTTGAAGGCAATTGAAGCACCCTATCTGCAACGCCCAAGCTGAGGTCAATTTAGTACAGAACGGAGAATGAAAGCTGAGGACTTTCCCAATTCTCAACTCTCTCATCAGCAAACATTTTTATTCAGTGTAAAGTTAACTTTGGGGTAATAAAAAAACCTCTGCATGAAAGTAAACTATATATTTTACATTTTGGTGTAAGCCTATGTTTAAAATAATACTTTACTATGAAATCTACACTTATCTAAAGTTCTCAACAAAATACATTTCCCCTTTCTTAAAGTTGTTTCATCCACATTATTATTGGATTCCTCTACTGAAACAAAACTTGGTATTGTAATATCAATACAGTAACACATGTATAATGTACTTGGTTTTGATCCAATAACATTTGTGTATTATATTGTTTATATTCTTATAAGGATTAAGTAGGAGATTGAAGTGGATGCTGCTTTTTTCTTAGTTGTAGGGCACAGTGCCCTTGCTTTGCTAATCTCGCTCCCATTTTTGGCACTGTTCCTATTTCTATGTGTTGTACAGCTCTTATTTATCACTTGTTGATAACACTTATTTATCACTTGCTGGAACACTCCCTCAATCCCACCGCCTTGCCCTCTCTCTCCCTTCTTTCATGTCCCGCTTGAAAACTTTCTACTTTGACCATGCTTACAGCCACCTTCGCCCGGGTCAGCGTCAGGCTCCACCACTGTGAAGCGCGCGAGGCGATGCCCTGCGTGGAGAACACTATATAAGTGCAAGTTGTTGCTCTCTTCCTCCCTTTAAAACGACTTGTACTACTGTTGTCTTGTGTTTCTTTCACTCTTTATATTTGTGTTTTTATATTCTGTTATAACACTTCTCGAATTCAGTCAATTTTGGTTGTCTTGTTCCTACTGTATTTAGATTTCTCATACTTTAGTTCCCCATATTACCACTTTTCCTTTTGTGTGACAGCAATGACATTTTCGAATGCATGTTGGGAGAAATGAGCCACCCACAAATGAGTCTGCATTTTTTTTTATCACCCACAATTTAAAAAAAATCTAACCTGACTCATTGCAACTACTGTGAAGGGACACGAGATAGATACCACCCACCCCTCAGTGCTTCACACCACGCTTCACTTTCACTGACGAAAAATAATGTTTTTTTTAAAAAAAACACGTTTGCTTATGTCTCACCCCCTTCCCTTAGGATGAAATACCTGCGTGAACTGAACCTGTGTGTTACGATTTCAAGAGAGTAACTAATTCGTTGATCGAGTCAAATCAGGGCAGCGAGAGCAATAAGTGGCACGAGAATTATCTACTCGGAAGGAATTCTCAAGCTCTGTTTCATTTTAAAAAGTCGGGATTTTTTATTTGTTCTCAAAACGAGATAAGAGGTGCCCAGTTTCCGGCTGTATTTTTTTCATACAGTATCTTGCAAATCCCAAGTTCACTTATCGGTGAGCCAACCCACAAACGAGTTTGCATTTTTTTTATCATCACAATTGTAAAACACATCTAACCTGATTCATTGCGACTACTGTCACGGGACAGAAGATATATATATATATGTATATATATATATATGTGTGTGTGTGTGCACACCAGTCCCAGTGCTTCACACCACGCCAAGGGAGCGGCATCCCGACTCCTAGACCGGGAAGAAGCCTGTCTCCACCCAGCAGAGAAATTCCAGCAGTTTGGATGGTTTTTATTTTTTTTCTCTGCGAATATTTCAACGTCTCAAGTCTCTCTCTCTCTCTTATCCATACATCTCATACCCAGAATATTTTTTTGAAAAAAAACCTCTTATTAATCAATCACGGGGATGGATGGATGGAGAGAGCGAGAGAGAGAGAGAGGGAGGGAGGGAGAGAGTGTGTGTGTGTGTGTATATAAAAGAGAGAGAGATGGCTGGATTGAGGAAGAGGAATCCAAGCCAAATTGGAAGCTGCCCAGACGTGTAACTTCAGAGGAACCTTTCATCAGCACAAGGCCTGGCCTTTTGTTCTATTATTTCCTCCTCCCTCCATCCCCCTCTCTCTGTGTCTCTCTCTTTCTTTCTCCCTCCATCCCCCCCCCCCCCCACACACACACACCCCCACCTCAGAGGTCGGGTCACGTCACGTGTTGGTTGGGTTACGTGCGGATCCGCACTGGTATCTCTGCGGTCGATCGGTTCCACGGAGAGGCGAGAGGCCGAGTGAGGTTTGAGAGGAGATGGCACTGTCCTCCTCCTCCTCCTCTCCTCCTCCTCCTCCCCCCCACAACCTCAGCCCAAACAAAACAACCTCCCCCCCACTTCTCTTCTTCCTTTCTCTTTCTCTCTCTCTCTTCCTTCCCATCACCATCATTCTCGCGGCGCACCACAAATCATATCAATCGCAATCAATAATAATCTTAAGTGAATAATTTTTTTTTCGGGGGGGTGGGAGGGAGGGAAACAAAATAACCTCACGAGGGAGGGAAGGAAGGAAGGAGGGAGAGGGGAGCGTACAGAAGTCATTTGGAATAAAGCTGGTGAGCGAGGGAAGGATGGAGAGAAAGAGAGAGGAGGGAGGGAGGGAGGGAGGGAAAAAGTCTCACACAAAAGACGCGACATTTCACTTCAATCCTCACGTCGAGGAGGAGACGGACTGGACGACGACGACGACTCTTCCCGCCTTCGCTGCCCATTTCCGGTCCGTCACTTTCCTCCTCCGCCGCCCCTTCACTTCACTTCCCCTCTTCCTCTCTTCCCCCCTCCGCTCCCTCTCTGAGTTCTCGTTGCTCAGTCTCTCTCTCCCGCTGCGTGTTCCTGTTTTTATTCCCTCTCTCCCCCCCCCCCCCCCCCCACCACCACCATCGTCATCATCCCCCCCTCCGCCGCCCCCACTTCTCTCCTTTTCTCTCGCTCAGCGATTACCCCGGAACGTGTTCTCTGTGACACCCGTCGCTTCCAATGGTTACCCGGGAAACGCG